GCCTGTGGCAACCATCAGCGCCGAGCCCGTTCCTGCCGTGTCGATGCCGCCGCCGTCGCAGTTGGGCGAAGCTGTGACTGCGAGCTCGCTTCAGGCTTCAACGACTCCGTCCTCACCGGAGCGTCCCGCGAGCGCTACGTCAGTCCAGGCCAGCGCCGCCGATCACATCATCGATGCGATACGATCCATAAATATACCGGTGAGATCTAACCAGTCTTATTATATTTCTAATTTTGATTCGAGTGTTAATGACATAGAGACATGGTGTGAAGAAGTAGACCGTGCTAGGTCTTCTAATAATTCACGAATGTCTTTCTCGCATTGGCAATTGTTTACAAGGAGATGCTAAAACGTGGTTCAGTAAATGGGTAACGAATGACCGCAGTTGGAGTAATTTTAAAAACGAATTTAAGCCTTTATGTCTTTATAAGATTTTTTTTATAATATTATATTTTGAATCTAACCTTATTTGATAAGAATATTGTAGTTTCAGTGGGAATTGTGGGATGAAGTGTATTATAATTTTGAGAGTTAGAAAGCTGATGTTTTCTTCTGAGAAGATTTCCAAGAACCATGTGGTAATTACATTATGTTTTTTAATACAATAGTACTATATTTGGTATTTTTTGTTGTTTTGACTATTATTTTATCTCACTACATATATCATACAAATAAAGTATCAATGACTACATTTGATATTTTATGTACGTAAATAAATCTTATTCCATATTCACGTTAAAATGTTGCTAAATGTTTTTATATTCGTAATTACTTAGTAAAAGTCAATGAAATGAAAGTTCGCTTTGAAATTGTATAGAAGTTCTTAATAAAATAACAGGTTATGCTTCACAAAACCGAATCAAGCCAAATTTCCATTACATATGTCTTAAACGATAGGGAATATTCTTACACTGGTTTGGAAGTTTTTTTGGAGTCGTAACTTAAGTTGAAAAAAAAAGAAGAAAACTACATTGGGTAAGTTAAGTTTGGAACAATAGAAAAGCGCAGGATAAGTAAAGCTAGGTTTATAACATGTAATAAAATACCAAAAGCAAACTGGAAAGGTTAGGTTTGGAACATTTTTAATACCATAAAAAACATCGAAAATGCGAAAATATTTTCTATTATAATTCATGTTATTTTATAACAGGGGTGTCAGCATACCTGTGACAAAACTGAAAACATATGAAACAATTTTATTATCACACTGAAATAAATTAAGACCCCGAAAAAAAATCTTCATAGTAATATATTCATCTTCAGAAATCTTCATAGCAATAATACTCATGGTGATCATTTCCTAAAGTTTAAAATTGATTTTACGAAAACTTGTACCAAATAAAATTATTATTCACAGACTTTGTTTATTGTTGTGTTTGGGTCGGACTTTAAGATCGGACTGTGACTCACTTTCCAATGACAAATTGACCGAAATTTATAATTATAAAGTACACATCTTTAGGTTTGTTTATAATAAAATTATGAATAACATCAACAATATATGATTTTATAAAAATAAAGATATCTGTAATTGTTTATTTTTCTAAATAAACTAAGTTACCAGCAGTTACATCCAACCTCTGAAGTTTCTGTAACTTATTAAATAATAAGAATAAGCTTTACAGTTATAATTAATTACAAAGGAAGAACATTGTATGAACAACTTATCAATTTTTAATACTTTTTGTTTTTAGGTGTGAAACAAGTAAAAAGTAGTAGAAAACATAATCTATGGATTCACAGAAATATAATTTTTATAAAGATAAAATTTTACAGTCTATTCATATTTAAAAGAACTAAAAAAAAGAAATAAATATTGTAGATCAAACTGTAAATTGGTCATGACATGACAAGTTTTTCAAACTAATTTGATTTATGATTCTACCATAGACATTTCACAAAAATGGGCACGCAATAAAAGTTTCTATCTGTACCTGTATAAACTAATCATAATTTTTAACATGGTTGTACACTTGAATCAATTAATTACCATTTCATTCTGTTGCAGATGAATGAATGCACCTCTTCAAGTTCTACAGAATTATTAAATGAAGGAATCTGCTTCAGAATTACTGACTGCATGTCGCTGCAACATCTGTGCTACAAAGTTTGATAATTGTAATTCTAAACTAAATTTGAAAAATAACTTATTATATGGAGTAGTTTAACCACAAATCTAAAAAAGAGTCACCATGTTGCAGGAAATGCTAGTAACTATATTAATGTCAATATTGATATATAGATGTGTAACCTATAGATTTAGTGTTTTCTATTAGTTTGATGTTAATAATATGACAATTTTTAGTAATATGTATTAGACTTTAATATAAAATATACACTAGCATAACAAGATTTTCTCGAAATTGGGAAATGCAGTGTATAGAAAATAAAAATATACTAAAATATAGGGAATTAAGTATTAAATTTGGATGTTACAAATATCACAACTTATAATAAAACCTAAACCTTTTTTGAACTAAGTTATAAAAATAAGATTGTATACAATTTTCTTACAAGTAATTTAAATTTCAACACGGGTACTTTACCCCAAAATGATGCCTCTTAAGCTCATTATTTTTCCTCGTTAAGGAATCTATAGGTTACACATCTATGGAGAATAGTAATAACAAAAGAGTTAAAATGCGGAATCTTTAGGTTCATAATTTTATGAATTTATTTGAGAAGTAAAACTTAAATATTGTATTCTATTTTTAAAGTACATTATATTTAACATGACTTTTACATTTGCAATGTTTTGATAGAAAAAGTTTGGATTAGGGGACTATTTGGAGCATTGGCAGTGCAGTTGGCGTTTGACCGGATCATATTTTACATATCCAGGTACGATCTCCGCTATACAGTAATGCATTCTTTGAATTTCATGATCCATCCGACATTCTTACTGTAAATTACAAATCGCATACAACTGTATAGAAATTCAAAGATATGTTTGAAGTCAACCAACCCTCACTGGCTCTGCGTTGTTTAATAAAACCTAGTCGCATTCTTGAGGGTAGGCTCCGAGCTCCTCAGTGGAATATAGTGTGTCCGTATAGTGAGCTTGATGATGACGATTTGTTTTGTTTCAATGCATATTGTCTTGTTAGCAATTTTCTAAATATTTTACCAACAGATAGGAGCTAATCTCTTTCCAGTGCTATTCTATTTCTCCCGACGAGAGTGGCACTACTACTCCAGTTCTATCAGAAAATATGACCTATCAAATAAACTAACTGGAACAAATAAGCATTTATTATAGTTGGGGTATTTTGTTTGTGAACTAAACAATAATGGTATTATTACAAAAGCAATGAGCATTATGTTGCGTTCTTAAAATATGTTCGCTTTAGTCAGAAGATTAAATTAAAGTTGCAATTAACGAAATTGTTTTATTTTTCCAAATTGTTTTCCCTCAAATAATACTTTCAAACGTCAAAAAGGAAACTGACAGATAGATTTTTTTAGGTTGATAGCAACGTAGACTTGTTCATAATATTGCTAGCATTGAAAATGTCAATTTTTATTCTCCGTTTGTGTATCTAATTAGTCAAAAGTCCCGTCTCTTATTTTATATACTCTTTGGTTCAATAATATTTAAATCATAAATATTATACAGATAAAATATATTAAAAAGGTCAAATATATTATGCATTGTCAAAATCATAACTGTTTTAGTTTTTAAAATCTAACTGTTCTTTATTTCACAATTCAAATTTAAATAACGTTTTACAACTATTATTTACAGGGTATATGAAAAGTAGTAAATTCGTTGCAGTTATTCAAACAATTCCTTAAGTACAATTTAATAAGTTATTTGTTATAAATCAAGCATCTTAATCTCAAAAAACTTTTCACACACTTCACAATTTCCCACAGATTATAAACAGATCAAGATTTTATTTTAGAGATAATAAGCACATAGCAATAAATATAGGAACTTTATTATTAAATTTAAACAATAATTAACAATACAAAAATATAGATTAAACACGGCTAACAACTGCATATCGACCTTTTTGGTTACATAGTTTTTTCTTTCGCACACTGCCTATGCGATTGCAAGAGTAAGAGAGATAGCACTATACAACACAGAAAGTAACTTACTCTTTCATATTGATCTATGAACATAAAAGATTGTCTCTTTCTTGCAATGATTTTTTTACCGAATTTATTCCTAAATAAAAAATGAGTGCTTTTCAACCAAGTGTATGAACAAATTAGGCCGAAAATTCAACTTGGTTTAATTTTTTTCGTTGAATATTTCTCGAAATTATTAATCTAGGAGGAAACAATCACCATTAATAATTTTAACACATTTATATTTATCTAAAATGTTTTGAAAAACAATTATCTTGCGTTAGGTGTGGCGCCATTGTCGATAATGCAGCCACTTGATTGGCGGATACTTTTTCGATAATTTTAGATTTCAATAACCAACCGCTAGGTTGTAGATCCAATTTCCGATATTTTACATATATGATCGGAGTATAGGAAAAAATTACGTATTTTTATTAAATTGGTAAATCCAAGATAATTTTCTTGGTTTTAGATAAATAGAGACTAGAGAGTAGACTCGTAATTACAATAAGGAAATTAAAATAAAATAATTGTGATAGTATAGAAATGTAAAATAAACTCTTATTTTCTTAGTATTAAGTAAAATACACAAAATACTGATTAAAGTGTAAAATCTTTGATATTATGCCATTAAAATTAACTATAATTATCTACTTACATATTAAAAACAATTAAATCTAAAATTTGACACATTTTGAAATTCTTAAAATAACTTGACTAGTTTAATGCTTTCGTATAAATAAATATTATAAATTAAATGAAATAGGAATTAATACTTTGAGGTAAATAATTAATAGGAACTCACCAATTAACTAAAGGTATCAAAAAATACATAAACGAAATAATAAATATATAATAAAGGAATGGATTTCTACTTTTTTCTTAATATATAAGTTTTATATAACAAAAAAATTAGCTTCGGAACATATTTTAGTTATATTGAGCATTTATTTAAGTAATAGATGGAAAATACGATGTCAATTTGTCCACAATTTGCCAACTGTTACTGATTTTGATAATAAAATGACGGATAAATTACTTTTTTTTAAATGATAGAATTACAAATTGTGGATTTAATTTTTTTATATTTTGTATGCTCTCATAACTGCCAGTTACCGTTTTTTTTATTTTTTTTTATTCATAACTGCCAGAATAGAAATATAACACTACCAATAACTCTTACCATTACCATTGGATTTCGATTGTCATCAAAACTTGACACATGTTGTCTTTGTTTTTTCAAAGAGAATATATGAGATGACAATATGTGTCAATAATAATTGCAGTAAAAACCCACCGTAAAAACTTTAATACTGATCTATTAGTACTTAATATTAAATTAGAATCGTTAAAAACACTCATAAAAGTTCAAAAATATCAGATTCGTTGTGTTTCTTTCTATATATTCTAATATTATTGATAACTCTTGTTTTAACAATTTCTATCTGTCTGTACATATCTTGAGTGAACGGATCAAAGTCTTGTAGCTTTTTCTTACGTCTGTAGATACCTTCTTTGTGTGTCAGAGCGCAGTTCATATCACGCTGATGAAGATAATGTAAAAAATTACAAAGTAATCATTGCTATATACTTAACACGTTAGCTGCCATGTCGGACTATATGTCCGACAAGCTAATGTTTCAATCAAGCCGTGTCGGTCTATATGTCGTTTTTCGAAAAATCATTTTGGCAGCTAACGTGTTAAAACAAAACCGAATAAGCCAACTTTACACTTATTAATTAAAGTAAAGACTGAAATAACACCTCACATTTAAAAATCAGCTGAAAATTTGTAATCTTTCAAAATTGGAAAAATGAATATTTATAATAGAGAGCGGAGTTTAAGTTGCAAATGTAATTTTTTTTTGTAATTGGTATACCGCAAACAATGCTGACTGTACATAATAATTGCTTATGTCTTGGTACCGGGCCTTTATCAGCCAATGGACATTCTGTTTTTATAGGCACCAGAGCTGGGCGCTATAGTAAATACGGCCCTGGCTAAGGCTACATAATTCGTTTGTATGTTAGAAAACTTACCTCTGTGAAAGTGTAGTTTAAGAAATTCAGTATTCCTTGAAGGGTTTTCCTCGTATCTTTCACTAATGTCTCGTAAAACACTATATACGCTGGTCCAGGAAACTTCGTGAGCCACAGATCATGTAATGACTCCCAAGTTCTCAGCTGTATAGTAACATAGGAAGACCAATCTGGAAAAAAAAACATCAATATCATCTTGCTGTATACCATTTCGTTTTTCTTTCTTTTAAACATAAAAAAACAGAAATGTTTTAAGTATTATTTGTGGATATGATTAATTTCAGGGACGGTATTTGATAAAGGTCCTAATTGGGGCTCTAGTTTTCGGCAGAATTACTTTTAAATAAAGATTAACGATTTCAGAACAAATAATTCAAAACATGTGTGAGGATTTTTTAACAACTTTGTTAGAATATTTATGAATTATATATCAATGTGCCTTGTAATTTATATACGAACCTGTTTTCTTTCGTTCACGAGACCTTTTCTTGAAAGCGGATTTCGGAGCTGTGCCAATATGACCTTTATGAAGTCTATTAAAATCTGCCTAAAGTGAAAATTATAGTGTAAATAATAAAAAAATAAGTACAAGTAATTTAAATTAATCCAACATATAAAGCATATAAAGCTGTATACATTTAAAAATGTAGGGAAAAAAATACGTTGTGGTAATAATAGTGAAAATTATAAAAAGACACGTAATATTTACCTTTTGTAGCAAAAGCTAATAAGCTACAAAACATTGTCATAGGCACAGAAACTGAAATAAAAAAATTAAAACATGGATGTGGTTTAAAAATACAACATGCAGGTAATTTATATAATTTGTTATTACTAAGGAACATTTAAATTATTTTGTGGTCGCAATTACTGTTTTCTGATAGATCCTTAAAAGAACCCTGAATTTTCTTAATATCAACATATAATATATACTATTTATTCTAATATCCGAATCGATTTGAAAGACTCTTTTACTGTTTTTTTTTAATTCTGCACAGACAAAGTCACTGGTTAAACACTAGTGTATGGTCAGCTTATTTCCATCCTCATTTATGGCCTAGCTGCCTACCTTAAGCAAGGGATGACTAAATCTTAGTTAACTACCTTGGCCCAGATTTAATTTGAACGCTAATATTTGATTTTAATTGAATGCATCAAAAGAACATTTAACATGAAAGCTACAATTAACAAAAAATATTATTCATGCATTCTTTAACAAAAAAACATACAAAATTAAACATGTGTGGGGAAAGCTTTGTACAGTCACCATCATTTGTGAAATTACAATTACAAATAACAAATAATTACTTTGTACAATACAATGAATCCTTGTCATAATAAATAAATAATCAGGCTATTGATTTATTTTCAAACAAAAGCCACTGCAGGTTACCTTAACTGTACCTCTGATTATTGTTTATTAAAATGAGTAAATCTTAAATTTGTTTGTCTAAAAGATGTGTAGCAAGTGTTACTGTCATCAAAACTCACAAAAACAGTTGTGGCTTTTGTTGTGAAATACCGCAAAGGCAACTGTACAAATAAGTTCACAAACATGTAAATAAAATTATAATAACAAAAAATTTAGCTATTTATATATATTTTACCAATATCGCATCTCTAGGATTCCTGATTAATAAAACAGCTGATTTAAACTTATCAGGTTCAAGTGGCGGTGCTTCATGAGTCTTTACAACAAGCACTGAGCCATCGGTAACATTTTCAGCAGGGAATCCATGAACTTTTAAACCAAAATCCATATAAATTGAACCTGTTAGGATACCTGAAATTTGTTTTACAATTTAAGGTAAAATTGTATTTATCATCATCATCAACCTGCCCTTATCCCTATCGAGGGTTGGCACAGTATGTACTACTCCTCCATACATCTCTATCAGCCGTCAAATTGTATTGATGTCAAATAATTTTTCACAATCTAAAGCCATTCCAAATGACTTAAGTGTAACAAGTTTACCTTAAAGCAAGATAACTGAAATAGACCAGCTGACTCTACCCTATTATACCTCAAGAACAGAAAATGATTCTATTGATGGCTCACTTCTCAAAATGGGTTCAGTCTGTTATTAGGCTCTAGTCCCTCACAATAAAATTTACATACATACATACCAACATAAATAGAAACTTTTAAATGTGCAAAAATATTACTCTCTAAAATCAGGATCAGAATTAAAATATGTTTGAATAAAGATGGTCATAGCCTTTGTTGCCTCTTGATTTAAAAGAAAAAAACTAGTAACTTACCAGTGACTTGCTGTAAAAGATATCTAAGCCAAGTGTTCCCACTGCCAGGATAAGACACAAGTGCAACAGCATAAGGTAATGGGGGTGATCGCCAGTGTAACTCCTTGCACCAGTTTACACTAGGCACAAGTCTTAAGCCCAATGGGCCTACGTAATTGTTGCCGTAGTAAACATTCTTGGAATCATTTATAGGACTAAATATAAATAAAATAACAGAAAAATATAAAAATGCGATAACTGCAGCAAAAATGAAAATTACTTTTCGCATCATAAACATCTGATTTGGACCAGGATTTTTCTTTATCAGAAAACACAGTTGTTTCACTGTTATTACTTAGTATTTGTAGCGGAAAATTTTTTGATCAAGATTTTGCACTCACATTTCACTGACTTAAAGAATATAACGACTTAACAAATTGTTATTCAGACACGTATTTTTCGGCAAACAAGAAAATAAAATTTTAGAATTATGAGCCGCTAAATATTGATTTGAGATTCAGCAAACAAATATTGAAACACATAATATTTGACAATGACACAATGACATTGACAATCAAATCAATTGACAAGTAGCGAGAACATCGTGTTGCTACAAAATAAATCCAAATCCATGGAACTTTCTTTGCGCGCATAACAATAGCAACATTGCAGATGACAGTCATAAACTAGTAGACATTACGTCCTATTTGAGATTTTCGTGTCTTATATATTTTGCGGATTTATTGAAGTTGAAATTTATAATAAATTCAGTTACTACAAGCAAAATGATTAATTATCGTCAATTCAATATTCAATCGTATATATAAGAATAAAAAAATAACCCGATGCTGAAATATTTTTGTGGATAATCAATAAATATGGATATGGCTGATAACCATAGTAATGATGGACGAGCTGTGATTAATTTCTTGAAAAACAATGTATACAAATTAGAAAATGCTACTTTAGAGGCTGAAATGAAAAAAGATTTTTTATTTGCTAAAAAAAAGAGTAAAGACACTAAAAAGAAACAAAGCAAGAAGAAATCTCAAACGTTAACCAGAAAGGAGAAAAAGGCAATGGGTTTTTATAATATTCCAAGGAATGGTGTAAGATACAATGATGTATTACCAATGAATGATATATGGGAGGGTTATATAAGTGAATTGCTTGAATTAGATAAACCAGTGCCAGAATGCAATAGCAAATGCTGGGAACATTTTGCACAGACTCTATATCGAGCAGACTTTCATGGTAGCCTTCTAGAAGTTATAAGATCAAAATGCCCGAGTTATGTGGGAAAAAAAGGTATCTGCATTATGGATACAAGGAATACATTCAAAATAGTTTCAATAAATAATGTAGTAACAACAATACCTAAACGTGAATGTGTTTTTGATATGTACATCAATGATATGGTAATAACATTTTTTGGAAAACATTTATGTATAAGACCTGCTGAACGGTCTACTAAAAAAATTAAATGTGTTATGCATCCTGATCTGTAATACAGTAAATATGTTAAATAATCATTTTAATGTTACAAAAAGATGAACTAAGTTTCAAGAGATAACCTTAATAAAAGCAAGTATATTCACCTTCATTCAGTGTTCTAGTTACCAAAAAATTGCCATACAATTCAAGACTTACTCTTCCCCTTCTAAATTTACAACTGTGGTGTTATTAATCTTATGATCATGTTACTTATTGTAGTGTAATCTACAGCATAATCTAGATAAGGGAAAGTCCAAGGAACTGTAATACTTTTCTCACTATTAGAGGTTTTCATCTAACCAAAGTTTGTTGCTTATGGAGTTGTCTGTAGGAACTGGACAGTGACAATCTCTCTTAAAGAGTTTTCTATTTTAATCAGGTTTGACTAGTCTGTCGTTGACGTAATATATTTAGATTAACATTGGTGGATTCAGCACAAAGGGGTCTGAGAGACTTGTACCCTTTGCAAAATCATCATAATTCTCTCACAAATTTGAAAGAGTTGATACAAGTTTCAGATCACCCTTAACTTAAGGTAGGCTCCGAGCCCCTCGGTGGGGACGTATAGTGAGCTGATGATGATGATGATACAAGTTTAAGGTGTGGAATTTTTTTACTCTATCATTTCCAAGATCTACCTTCAGAGTTTATAAACCTCGTTCTCATACAATTATAAAACAACAGAGTACAAATAATATATGCAATATATATTTGAAATACAAAATAAACAGGACTAAAAAGATATAACGGAAGGTAATGCAAATAATTGAGGAACAACAACTGCTGTTTGAACAATAACCTAGAACACAGTTTACATCGCATGGGCAACAGATAATAAATTTAAGAAAAATGAAATTAAATAAATGGTCTACAAATAATAATCATTGTAATAATTAAAAAAATTATATAAATCTATGAATTTGTAGAAAAGAATGTCGCCTACTTAATAAAAACGCCTACATATTTAAAAATGTCTTATTTTTTACAAGCTTAAACATTTAATAGATAAAATAGGGCATAGTCGCCCTAACTTTGGGTAGGCTTCGAGTCCCTCGGTGGGGACATATTGTGACGACATAATAATTAGAACATTTCTTTTGCGTGTCATTTTGTTGACTCAATGATTTTAGTGTATACCCTTCTTCTTACGATATCTATCTGTCTGTACATATCATGACTAAATGGATCGAAGTCTTTGTATTTCTTCTTCCGTTTGTACAGCCCTTCTTTGTTCGATAGTGCGCAATTCATGTCATCCTAGTAAAAGAAAATTAAATAAGTTAAAAACTTCTAAAACTTATCTACTTTAGAAAACTCGATACGATGCCATATTTTAAAAGTTCCAAATAAGAAAAAAAACATTGGGTCTTTCCTTAGATCCAGAAAAAGATTCTTTTCCGTTTAACTCCAAAAAAAGATTCTTTTCCGTTTAACTCCAAAAAATAGATAGCAAAAATACGCAGAATATTAATTGAGCTAACAAAACGAATTACATATTCATACACATTTTAAGTCTTGTCGGTCAAAGAAGAGAATTACCTCGGTAACAGTGATATTTAAAAAATTCAGTACTCCTTGAAGTGTATTTCTCGTATCGCTCAATAAAGCCTCATAAAAAACTATGTAAACCGGTCCAGGGAATTTTGTTAGCCATAGATTATGAAAATATTCCCAGTCTCTCAACTGTGTTGAAACATAAGGAAACCAAACTGAAATAAAATTACCTCAACTTAGGCAAAAAATACCGAAATTTATACTACCCAGAAAATGATTTACTGTGAGTTTCTGACACAAAAATCTCTGTATAAAACATATCATTACCTTTGACAGACTTTTTTTTATGTTTGATAAGCCAGCGCTTGACCACGATCCCACCTGGTGTAAATATGGTCGAAATCTATATCGAATAAAGATAACGATATATTTTAAACGGAGATTTTGAATTCAGAAACTCACGGTTAATAGTAATCTATCGACTGGCGAAAATATTAGTTTCCTAAATGAGCTTTTACATTTCTAACTCAAACTATATTTGTTATCGATTTTGATGACTTTTAATGAAGTTTTAATTGCGTGTCTCCGAAATATCAATAGGAAATAGATAATAATTTAATTTAGCGGAACCCTTGGGAGCCCTACCGTGCGACCGCATTTGGGGTCGATTTTTTATATTATTTAATTTTATTTTTAGTTTGGTTTAGTTTTAGTATATAGTTTATTTAATATAATATTAATTAGTTCATTTATTTTGTAGTGGTTAGTTATTTAGTAAGATTATATTTTAATTTATAACTAGGTTAATGATATTTTGTACTGAATAAACCTAATACGTGATTATTTAATTTAGTTATGAGAAACAACTATGAAATCTAAGTTGTAGGATAGATCTAAATCTACGCTAAGGCAAAAGACTTGTACGTCGTATGTAAATAACTTTTAATATTAGTTTTGTAACAAGAAAATAACTATTGATAATGAGAAGTTTAATTTGTTACGTTAAAATTTACATTGTTATCTTTTGCAAAAAATCGACATGTTGTTTTTGTCATGATATGATATCATCATTTTACTCCCAACCAGTTTTGAGCATTAGGAAAACAGCACTATAAAGTGCTGTTTGACTGGCGAGAATTTAGCCCCTTTGGGCACAAGGCAGATAAAACGAAAGAAAAAAAATGTCCGCGACTTCTGCCTGTATACATTCTGTCTAACTCTAGAAGCTCTATGACATTTTATTGTGTACGTCGCTTCTCAACTGAAAGCACCGGGTTTCTAAGATTTACGTTGCATTTTGTACTAAGCGCCTTAAGGTCTTCATTGGAGACAGCAGACTTTCCATTAGTCTTAGATCATATTTTAAAGAAATCAGCGGCCAAACTTTCGATCGAAGATAGGAATGTAAAACGAAACAATTACGAAAACTATTACATGCATTTGTAACTTTCAAAAACCAGTTTTTTTTTCATTGTCAATATCTTGTTACATACAAGTTTACATTAAGACGATTAAATTTAATTACGGAATTTAATACATAATATAAGATATACAATTGTATTACAATTTAAATCAAGAAATAACGTTTTTATTAAGTTATGAAATATATACAAAAAAGGTACTAACCAATTCTCTTAAGTGAAGGAATCTCGAAAGCTGATTTCGGTGCAAAGCCTGTGTGCCCACTATTGATTCTATTGAATTCCGCCTGAAGTGAAAAGCATATTTAACATACGGACCAACGTCACCACACCCCTAGTGTCTGCACAACAGAGCTGTCGTATAGTGGCGTCTAACAAGCGCCACATCTTCGTCCACCCGGAGACTCCCCAGAAGAAGAGAGCCACGCACAAGCTCTCAAAAGAGTGCACAAGCAGTGGAATTGGGACAAGATTTTTTAAATGTGTGCTCTGTGTAAATACTGTCAGGAAAATAATTGGAATGGGTACAAGGCACGTTATTCACATTCTGTTGTTAAAATAGTTAAATAAAACACAAAGACAAATACATTTAAACTGTGTAGAGGATGAGGCTTGGTCAGTTGAGATAAATACAAGACAATACATCTCTATCTAAGCACATTCTTAGTCAACCAGCAATTAGTGGGCTTATTTATCTGGGTCCCTGGTCGTGCCTTATATATTGTATGTTTGGGCTCAACCATTTGTACACGTTGAAAACTTATGTATGTATAAATTACAAAAAAATGTATGTACCAATATAGCGTCTCTTGGATTCCTGATAAGTAACACGGCTGATTCGAATTGTTCAAGATTACTGGGTGCGTATTGATGGGTTTTCACAACAAGTACTGATCCATCGGATATATTTTCAGCGGGAAATCCATGTTTACGCAGATTATAATCCATATATACAGAACCCGTAACAATTCCTGCAAGATTTAAATTAAATAACAAGTCGCAAACACAAACTCTTCTATTGGTTCGGTGTCATAAAAATATGGAACTTACCAGTGACCTGCTGCAAAAGGTATCTAAGCCAAGTGTTCCCACTACCAGGATAAGACGCAAGAGCTATTGCGAATTGCAGGGGCGGCGTCCGCCAATGCAATTCCTTGCACCATTCTACTTTTAAATAGTCCGTAGTATTCTTGTCGTTGGAAACTTGCTTCGCGTTAATACATAACATAATTAAAGTAATAGAAAAACACAATGCCGCAATAGCCGCTAAAAATAAAACTGATTTTCGCAACAATTTAATCATAGTCTTATACAAAAATATATTTAAAATAATTTAAAAATGTCTTCGATACTTCGTTTATTTAATAATTTCGTATTCAAATTTTGTTACGAACTCAAATATGGACTTAATAAAGTAAAAAAGGAGCGTCTTGTAACAAATTTGAATAAAAATGCAAATTGATAAGAATTTTGAAGGTAACTGACTCAAACTGACTTATATAGTCTTTGGTAAGTGAACTGATAACATTATATGTAGTGTGTCTATTTATGATGAGTTTGACAACTGACGCCTATAGAATATCGAATTAATTTTGTATGAGGATTAATGTTGTATTTAATGGACGGATGTCATAGTGTCGAACTATCGCGCACAACGAATAACTGCGAACTATCGAGAATCGGTCTTGTAATAAAATTAATCGGACAAATGGGTATTATAATTTAGTCATTTTATTACTTTTTGAATTTATTACAGTTATTTGGCTATGTATCGCACAATTAACAAAAAAAAATTGTTGTTCGTTAACACCGCAATTTTTGGTTTAATGTCTTATTTCTTTATGTAGTTATGAAGGATAAAGTATCAGTAGAGAGAAACAATTTTTATTAGTATTGTAATTCAAAAACAATAATCAAGAATTTTCGATTGCAGGTTTTATGAGAAAAACCAAAGAGTATATAAAATCACCAAAAATCAACCAAAAACCATCAAAAATCGAAAAAATTCATAATCGATTTTACTCAACCCATATCTATTGAATTGTAAAACTACATTATGACAATACACTAGGGCTCCCAAAAAAAGTCACAAGATATTCTTTGAACTATAGTTGTCATGGCATCTTCTATCACCATGTAAGTTTTACATATTTTTTGACGGAACTAACATAACAGCAGCGCCTCTCTCTCCGGCACAGAAATCCTTGTTTGTCCATAAGGACTTGGTAATACAAGGTGGAACCATTGAGTATATAAAAGAACCGTAGACTACGGTTTCCTTTATTCTGATAATTTTACTGTTAAAGTGTAACTTTACTGCACAGTTTCACAGCATGGAGTGGCATGGAGTTTTGTAGGGATTAGAGGTTACTGTCTATTCGAATTTAGGGAGATATTTTGTTATGTTACTTGTTATGATTATTGTTTCCCAAATAGGCCTGTCCTTGCAGACATTATTTGATTGCTAGGATAGACTAAGACCTACACATATGTCGCCGATGGATATGGAATAAACAAATTTATATAGTATAGTTAGGGCTCTAGTATATTTTTGCTTCAAAGCCTGACTCAACCCTACCAAATCGAATACTGTTTCTGATAAAATAACAAAACAGTAAAGAACAAAAACAATATAATATGTATGACAATATATCTGTTATATCCAACATGATTATGTATACGAAATATGTTTTTTTCTTTCGATAATACGTACAAACACTGCAACTTTGTTAATACTATATAGATGTGTCATTTCTTATCGTTTCTTGTAATACCTTAAGGTATTCTAATTGCGAGTTTCCACTTTTTGAATCAATGATTTTAGTATATATCCTTGTTTTCACTATATCTATCTGTCTATACATTTCGTGAGTAAATGGATCGAGGTCTTTGTATTTCTTCTTGCGTTTGTACAGGCCATCTTTGTTCGTTAGCGCACAATTCATGTCATCCTAGTAACAGAAAATGAATTGAGTTGAAAACTAACCTATAAAAATCTACTTTAAAAGATCTAGATCTAAAGTTATGCTATTAACAAAGAATCCAGAAAAGTATACTTTTATATTAATTTTACCTACAATTAGCTTAAAATCTATTATAATTGAGCTAAATAATCTTTTTTTTTATATTATAAGCTGGCAAACGAGCAAGCGGTCACTTGAATTTGTCGCAATAGCGAAGTGACCGCTGCCCATAGACAATCGACTATGGATTCGTGC